GGGGGGGGGGGGGGGGGGGGGGGGGGGGGGGGGGGGGGGGGGGGGGGGGGGGGAGGAGGGAGGTGCATGAATAGCCCCCAAGAGGTTGAGACACCGACAAACCTAGCGGGGAGAGCGGAGAAGAGAGCAGGGGGAAACAGCAAGATGGCCCGCAGTCCTGTGGTGGTCAGTGGAACCGTCGCCTCGGGTTCACGCAGCAGCAGCAGCAGCAGCAGCAGCAGCAGCGGCAGCAGCGGCAGTAACAGGAGGAGCAGTATCAGATCGAAGCCCACCGGGCTCGCGGTGATGATGACGGCAGGGGTAATGACGATCATAGCGTATCCTTGTGGAGGCCTGCTGCCGGTCGCCTCCGCTTCGGCAACAGCAGCAGCTGCTGTTGCCGACGCCGGAGCTGATGTCAATATCGCCGGCGGCATGTCGAGGCATCTCGGCCTAGCGCAGCCACAGCAGCAGCAGCAGAAGAGGGAGGGGGAAGAAGGGGAAGGGGTCGTTCGGATGCTCATCACGACCTCCTCTTCGCCCTCCCCCCTCTACACCGACGATCCCGTCCCCGTTGTCAGCTACGACGACGACTTCGAGGGCGGGGGCGCCGCAGCATCCCCCACCCCGGGCCCATCCACCACCGCCACCGTCACCACGGCGGAGCCGTCAACTGCGGAGCCCCTTACCTCCACTCCGACTCCGGAACCAACAACCGCCGCGGCTGCCGCCGCTCCCACGCCCGCTCCCACGCCCGCTCCCACCCCCGCCGCGGCGGATTCCCAGCCGTCGGTGGCCCCCGTGGCAGCAACAGCAACCGCCGAGCCTACGGCAGCGGCGACCGCCGCTGCCGTTGTTGTTACGCAGGAGCCGTCTGCGGCGGCGGTGACGACCACCGCTGCGCCGCAGGAGGAAGTTGTGGCCACGCTCGCTCCCACGATACCCGAGGAGGAGGAGATGCGCACCCCCTCTCCGGCGTTGGCTGTGGACACCCCGCCCCCGCCTGCCGATGCCGATGCCGATGCCGATGATGATGCCGCTACTGCGGCGGTGACGCCGGCTCCCACCGCCGCTGCCGCGGAGAGGGAGGCCGGCGATGACGATGGCCAGGCGGAAGACGCTACGACTGCTACTACTACTCCGGCACCCGGGGAAGGGAGCATCAACGTGACTCCGGCCCCCGCTTCCGCGGGGGGGGCGGAGGGAGGCGACGACGACGCTGTGGCGGAGACCCCGGCGCCGACGATGGAGGGCGCGGTGGGGCAGCTCACAGGTTCGGTCACGGCGCCGAGTACGGTGCTGGGCTCCCCCGCGTCGGCAAACATGCTGCTCCTGGCGCTGGAGGAGCTGCTGGAGATGGAGGACCAGGACAGCATCAGGGTGGTGATTACGAGGGAGGGCATTGCGAGGCGAAGGGGGCGACGCCTGCGGTTGGGGTTGGGGATGTGGGGGGAAGAGGAGGACGGGAGGAGAGGTGCGTGTGTTGTTGTTGTTGTTGTTGTTGTTGTTGTTGTTGTTGTTGTTGCCCTTCAAACCCAGAATTGAAACTATTTCAGCCTCCTCTTCAAACCCAGCCTAGTTTCCTCGGACTGCTGACAGGCCAGAATTCCGATTCTCGGGCGCTCTCACACGTGGCCATTTCTTCCATCCTTCTCATCTGGATTTAGGTTTGACTTCATTCTCCATGTGGCTCCCTCTTTGTCGCAGCTTTCTATCTCTTCCTCGTCTTGATGACAATTAGTTGATTGCATGTGTTCTGTTGTGGAGGTTTTTTTTCTTCGTATTTGGGGGCCTGCCGGACTCTGCTCTCTCTCTCTCTCTCTCTCTCTCTCTCTCTCTGTCTCTTTTGGGCGAAAAACGAAAGAAATGTAAGGGTGTTTAAGAAAGACACATGCTTTTGTACTCAGCACCAGCTGGTATCGCTGGTATACTTCAATTAACAGGCTTCGACAGACTCAAAGTACGGCCAGTTTCGAGCGGGTTTCCCTCCACTCACTCAAGACACTTCAGCACATCCCCTGCGACTGTGGATAGTGTTTCTGTGTGTTTTATGTATGCTTCTTAGAAAGTCGCCCGCGTGTCCGCGCGGCGTCAGCCGTTGTCACACTAGAGTTAGGCGATCCAGTCTGCACACACACAGCAGTTTTGTGTGTGTGTTTTTTTTTATTTCCCGTGAAGGTGCCACAGATATGTTGCTCGTAAGCATGCACACGTGTTCTGTCGATCCCGCAACCTGTGACCGCTCCCACCCTATCCCCGCGGATGTTGATGGTCACGAAACCAGACGGCAGCGAAGAAGGCGGAGCCTTGCAGCAGCAGCAGCAGCAGCAGCAGCAGCGGCAGCAGCAGCAGCAGCAGGAGGAGGAGGAGGAGTACCGTAGTCGCCGGCTCCAGGTGGACGAGACTACGAGCGAGGCGGAGTTTGAGGTGGTTTTCATCAACGACCCGG